GTCGACCGGTGTGGGCGGAAACCGCTCTGCTCCTCCGGGAGGATGCCCTCTCGCTCGCAGTAGTGGCTTAGGCGTGTTGCAACGACCTTAAGCAGCACCTTGCCGGCGTGTGCAACGAGAGAGATGCCCCGGTAGTTGCCGCACTCCATCGTGTCCCCCTTCTTGAACAGAACCTTGATGGTGGCGTCCTTCCACTGCTGCGGTACGTTCCCCGTCTGCCACACGTCCACGACGATGGCGTGGAATTCGCGGAGGAAGTCTCGGTCTCCATCCAGGAACAGCTTGATCAGCTCAGCCGGTAGGTCGTGTCTACGAGCGAAGAAAGCCACACCTGTGAACAAAGCGATTTCCTCGAGAGGGGGAAACATATCACATTGCCTGCGCATGAACTCCCGTTGAGTACATGCAGGTCTGTCCGCACTGGGACAGCACACTGCACCACGCCCGAAATACCGTTAAGTGACTGCGAGCGAAGCGAGTCGACCCGCACTGGGACCGCACACTGGACCACGCCCGAAACACCGTTAAGTGCCTTCAAGCGAAGCGAGTGAACCCACACTGGGACTGCACGCTGCAACACGCCCGAAATACCGTGAAGTAAGTGTCTTCGAGCGAAGCGAGTTACGATGCCCCACACTCGTATTCACTCCACACCGATTACATCAACAACACACCAAACCACTCTGGGCCTTTACACACTGCACCCCGCCCGAAATCTTGGTAAGTGCCAAGCGAGTCGACCGCACTGGGGCCTCACGCTGCAACACGCCCGAGGTCCCCCGTTAAGTGCCTCCGAGTGAAGCGAGTCGACCCGCACTGTGATCGCACACTGCACCAGGCCCGAAATACCGTAAGTGCCTTCGAGCGAAGCGAGTCGACCCGCACTGGGACCGCACACTGCACCACGCCCGAAATACCGTCAAGTGCCTGCAAGCGAAGCGAGTCGACCCGCACTGGGACCGCACACTGCACCGCGAGTCGACCCGCAACTGGACCGCACACTGCACCACTCCAAAAACACCGTGAAGCGCCTTCGAGCGAAGCGAGTCTACCCGCACTGTGACCGCACACTGCACAACGCCCGAAATACCGTGAAGTGTCTTCGAGCGAAGGGAGTTACGATGCCACACTCGCATTTACTCCACACCCATTATATCAACAACACACCAAACCAGTCTATGCCTTTTTTGCTTTCAAACTGTAGACTACAGCTACGGTACATACGTAGACTATTAGACTAGATACTTTGTAGTTTTTGGAACTCCGTCCAGGTGCTGCCGGCAACAAGTGTTTCCAACGCGGCCCGGCTGCCGCTCCAGACCAGCCGCTGGAACGTATCCGCAGCAAAAACAGCCATGCCTCCTTCACGTGCATTTTTCGGGTTCAACAGAACAGCGGCCTCTTCATCATTTATATATTTAGACAGACTAGATGATATGCCGCGCAGTTAACTACTACTACGAAGTACTTTATAACGACCGCCGTACGTGCCATCATCACCACCACCACCACACGGTGCATGACAACAGCAGAATGCAGGGTACTGATACCCCCTGAATTGGTCAGACGCCCGCGGCTGAGTCACGACGTACGTCTAGGGGGGTGTTAACCGATTCACAGGCATCTGATGAGTGTACAATAGCGTACTACATCTCACCGATATGATCTTCTATATTTCTTCTCTTCCCCATGGTCTACGGATCTTCTTTGCTGACCAACCCTCTTCGACGTTATCACCCTGCGCCTTCTTCGAGCAACAGCAATTGCAGTTGCCACCGCTCCAAACGACGCAACAGAAATCGGAGCGCCAGACGAGGTAGACACTGATACCCAACCACAGCTAAGACCTCGTAATTAATGCAAGAATAATTGATTATTGCATGTGTCTTGGTGTGACCGGTGGCAGTATCGATCAGCAATGCCGCACAGACTTTTGCGCGCCGAAATATGCGTGCGACAGCTTTAACCTCACCAGTTCGGTGGAAAGCGGACTTCTGTTCGATACGGTGTCAGGGGTAGCAGGGAAGAAGGGGCCGAGTTTTGTTTGATTTCGGGTGGATGAGGTTGGGGTTTTGTTCGTTTTTCTCCATCTAAGGTTCGTGCCTAGAGTTCAGCTGTAGCGTTTCAACCAAAGTTTTGTTGACTTAGAGGCAAACATTCCTAGCTATTGGGCATCGAGTTAATATGGCTTGGCATGACGGCCTTTACGATCGACTTTTTATGAATGTCTGCATTTATCTGCAACAAATTGTCGGAGGGCAAACAAGATAATAATAACATTTATTGCATGTGCATACATTGGACGAGTGCGCGGAAAAATATTAACACCTTCAAATCGAAAATCCATGAAGGGGCAACTGCAAACAGTATCATTGTACTTCGACTTCTGTCGCTTCCAATTTTCAAATTTCCAAATTCCCCGGGTTTATGCTGAAACTTGGAAGCGAAATGACTTGAGGCGGTTTGGGTCAGGCGAGGACATGTATATACCCGGGAGATTCCCGGGAATATGATGAGGCATTTTCGCTGAGGTCGCTGCTGCTGCTTTTCTTCTTGTGTGAAAGTCATCTGGGTTGGGAGACCTCCGAGAGGTGGTAAACATTACGACCCCTAGGCTTGTCTTCGGAAGCTTCTTGTGCATACCCCGACACCCTTGTGGAGTAGCCTCTATTAATAGGCTTCTACATGTAGAAATACTCATGACGTGAACAGAAGTCCCTTCTGTGGGTCCAGCCTTGCATGCACACACTGTCTCTCCTAATCGTGTCAATATGTGCCTACAAACAAGCTCCGCGGGTAACGTCGTACAACTGTACGTCTGTCTGTCTGAATAGTCGAAGCAACAACGTTCACGTCCGAAAGACACAAACGCCTTCCGAATGGCTCGTATTTTAGACTATTGGTGATTCATATAAACTTTTCGGAATCCCCCCGGTTTGAGTATCCGAATTTCCGTTCGTGAACGTCTTTGGATTAGCATCCCAGCGGCAGCAGTAATCCTGCTGTATACACTATCTCTCCCTTCTCCCCCTCGCTCCTCGACAAGCTTTTGCTTAGACATGGGTTGTAGCGAAGGGGGGGGTCTTTCTGGCGAGCAGGGCTAGACTCACCCTCAAGGGATGACCGAAACCTTCTTGCTGCTGCGCATCCGCCGCGAGGCGTGCGTGTGGTGGTGGAGTTGGGTCGGCACTGATGGGGTCAGGCGGGAAAATGTAGATGCGCGGGCCTTTCTGGCCGTCGGCGTTGGCAGTGATGCCCATCTCATTTTTGTGCGCGGAGGCAGACACCATTAAAAAGGTGGACGGGCACTACACGGCCCTAGGTTTGCTAGAGGGAGCTGTATT